TAGTTATAAAGACTATATGGAACTTAAAAGCAGATCTGAAGTTAGCAACTCCTACTTCGAAAAAGAAGCAATTCATCGTTATGAATTGTGGATGCAAAATGCTATCAGAAGAGTTAAACATGCAAGAGAGATTGGGAAAAAAATTCGAGCTGTAAGGGTTATACAAAGGAAATTTATTGAATATTATTACTGACTCTCTGGCCTTTGTGCTACACAGTTAATTGAGCATTATAAACTCTTATGGGAAATTAGAGATGAATCACGTCAAATTAATAATGTATAGCTTAATTTATTATAACATATATCCATTTATTCGATTTATTAATAACTTTTTTTGCATAGAGTTGTTGTCCACTGTTTTCCTAATGCTATTCTTGAGATCACAATTAGGTAATGCATGAAGTGAAATAAAAATCTATGAAGTGCATACTATAACACTATAGACTTTTCATTTTGATTTTTCAGTTTTTTTGGGTTCAGAATTCGTGGGCTCAGCTGGCAATGCATTTTTTATCTTGTACTTTTGACGTAACTCTATCTCTTTCTGCAAATCCAGTGAAGTATCGAATCTTAAATGAATTGCTAGTGGATCATCTTCTGGCCTATCTAAATCAAACACAATAAATTCACCTTTGCGTAGATAACTATTAATAACCATTGATGCATTTTTTACATCATCTGTATATTGACGAATAATTTTAGAGACATCTTCATATGAGCTACCAGAATTAAAAAGTACTAAGTAATTTGCATTTTCATACATGAATATAGTGATTTTATGATATTTTTGTGTCACAAATATATATAAAATATTTCGATATCGCCTATTTCCAAAAAATTAGCCAATTCGATTCTGTATATATTCTGAAGCGAGACACAAATCCTCAAAAACAATTGCTGTACTTCGTTCAGATGAAAATGCTTTTACACTAAGGATTTTTTCTGGTGATATATAGCTAAATCGTATATTTTCATAGTAAGGTGCTTTCAGGTCTTTTGAAATTATGCTATACATATATCTAACAAATGCCCATTTTGGCTCGTCAGGATGATAACCACAAACTATTAAATTATCACAAAAAATATATCTCCTACCACCTTTTTTCCTTTATATATATATTCAGCTTTATCACTAAGAAAAAGATTTGTTAAGATATTAGTCTTACCTGATCCACTTTTTTCTGTAACTATCATTCTAAAGGGCTATATTGGACTAGCTGGATAAGATTGACAACAAGATACAACATGTTTATTAGCTTCATCCATATCCATAAGGAATAGTTTCATAGGAGGTATTTTTGAATTTTTTTGCATGACGGATTGGGAATCCATAATTCTGTTTTCTATATACTGGATAAAAATTTTCTTTCTTTTTGGTTAGACAAAAAATATTCCTGTATATATACCAAATAATTAGTATTGTTATTATAACAAGAACAACAAGCTTAACAATAGGGGAAT